ACTCTGTTGTGCACAGGGTCACTGCGAGTCAGAACCCGCTCAGTGGTACCGAGCAATGACAACAAACACACACCACCACTTAACATTTCTCACTGCTCTACCTCCCCATTGACCACTTTTCTTGAGCTTATGCTCATGCAAAATCCAAGCACCCTGTATACATGAGAATATCTAATAGGAAAACACAGGGAATCCAGGGCGGATGATCCCTTCAGGACCAGTGGGGTGAGTGGCGATACTGGAAGGGTAGAGGGAGGGTTGGTTGGAAAGGGGAAATCAATTACAAGGATCTACATGTGACCTCCTCCCTGGGGGACGGACAACAGAAAAGTGGGTGAAGGGAGACATCGGACAGGGCAAGATATGACAAAATAATAATTTATAAATTATGAAGGGCTCATGAGGGAGGGGGAGCAGGGAGGGAGGGCAAAAATGAGGACCTGATGCCTGGGCTTAAGTGGAGAGCAAAGGTTTTGAGAATGATAAGGGCAATGAATGTACAAATGTGCTTTACACAATTGATGTACGGATGGATTGTGATGAGTTGTATGAGCCCCTAATAATCGGTTAAAAATAAATAAATAAAACAAACAATAAAAAAAAGAATATCTAATAGGAGAGTCAAAACCCAAGATATCATCATACATCAAAGACCTAACCATTGGCTGAGGAACACTGCTCTCTGGCTGCAGGGGCAGTGAATCATTTAATGTGGCTCTTATAGTCCAAGTCTCTAACTCCCAGCAAACAACCTTTCCCTTCTTGGGTCTCGTAAGAAGGTGGGGGAAGACATTGATAGGATTCACCTGAGTAATGGTGGCCAAGAACCAGGAGTAGAGTTCAGCCTCTGGACCTGAAATCCCTGTGCAGTGAACCTCCTGGATCCAGATGACAGCTACGCTCTCAGAGGAGCAGCTGCAGAAACAGGAGTGATGGACTTCCCACCCCACCCACAGAGCAAGTTGAGTGCTTTGGTACAGGAAGCTGACTTGCAGAGTGGGGTGCCTCAGGGCACTTAATTGGGGGATTTGGACTTGCTGGGTTTGAGCTGAATGCCTTCAGTCTGAGGTTTACAGCAGTGTGGTATGCCCCTAGGGCACTTGTTAGCAGACCTGAAACCTTGGGAGAGGGCCTGGTAACCACAACTCAACCCTGAGCAGTCTCAGAGGCTTCACAATTTGTTAAATTCCTTAATTAACCCTTTAATCTGCATTTTTCTCTGTGAGTTTCTGGGTAGCTATTGCAATGAATAATATTAGAACCCAAAGAAGTGAAATAGAGAGCATTAAGATAACACACTCGTAGTGTTTGTTTTATCAATACAAATTCTGGGGCACATTTGCAAACAGAATAAGTATTGCCTAAAGCTCAATATAAATGCAAACAAAAATCCAGGAGCGTTACTTTTAAGCCAGGTGGCATGGAATCAATTTCAAGTACGCTCAAGCACCTTTGGGTCTCCTCAGACTCCAGGCTGAGGCCTCAACTCCATCATTTACACTTTGCTGCTCTGTTTGCTGTGGATGTGAAAGGCAACACTTGTGATTTACCACTGTCTTTTAACCACACTTCTGGCACATTCATTCCTCTCTCAGCAAAGGGGCCTGATGGCTGCCAAGGGTTTTTCAGGCCACACTGACCTACTCAGTTGCACTGTCATTTACCCCTGGAGACTTTAAATTGCTGTCACATACACAGATATAAATCTTGCTTATAAACTGATCACTTATGCTTCTAGGCCTCTCAGTCTTTTCTCCCCAAATGATATTTAATGGAATTGCATAATTCTCTAAGGAAGAACTTCACAGACATAGAATGTGTAATGTATAGAAGGGTTTGTTGCTTTCTTCTCGTCTTTCAAACAGAGTTGGCAGCTTCTGCTGGAGGGAGGCAGATGTGAAAAACCAGTACACAAATGTTAGAAGACGTGAAACAAAACCATCTGTGGACCATGTCCAGGTCCCACACTTGGTGCAGTGGGAAGCAAGGTGAGGTGTCCACTCCAGCAGAGGGCCCCTTCTTGTTGTCTCATCCTCCAAAGTACATTCACAATCCGACTACTTTGTGCCACCTTCGGCTCACATCATCTAGTCTGCAGGGAGGAGAGCCTTTCATTGGCTGCTGCTCCTTAGACTTGAAAACCATATTCTGGCCTCAGGTCCTCTGTCTACCTGCTGTGTCCTCAGAATGCTCTTCTCCGTATATTCACAGGGCTCAATCCTGTCTGATTTCTGTCCAGATGTTTTCATATCAAACAGGCTGTCCTTGTCCACTCCATGAAAAACAACCCCTTCTCCTACATAATTCTTCTTTGCTCATCTTTGTAGTATTATAACTACCAAACACGACTCCTATTTACTTATTATTAGTTTCCCCTAGTAGAATGTAAACTCCTGAGAACAGAGAATTTGGGCTATTTGGTTCACTACGGTAGCCTCTGAGTCTAGAATGGTGCCTGGCATACAGTAGACATTAAAAAATTATCTATCAAATGATATTTAACTGTAATGATCCAAGTTAAATAATGATGCAAAGAAACAGAAAATTAGTGACACAAGTTCATAATTACTTGCTAATAGAATAGTATGAGTCAGTAATATAGGCAGTCCCTGGGTTATGCATAAGATCCATTCCTAAGTCTGTCTTTAAGTTGAATTGTAGTTAAGTCAGAACAGATATGCCTGGTTCTCATTTAATGCCAGTCAAATGCTTGTCTTAGTATATAGCAGTGGTTCTCAACCTTCCTAATGCTGCAACCCTTTAATACAGTTCCTCAGGTTGTGGTGACCCCCCCTCCCCAAACCATAAAGTTATTTTCGTTGCTACTTCATAACTGTAATTTTGTTATGAATCGGGCGACCCCTGTGAAAGGGTCGTTCAACCCCCAAAGGGATGGCGACCCACAAGTTGAGAACCGCTGGGCTATAGTATAGTTTTAGAACATATTTTACCTTCCCATGCATACACTAAAACATATAAAACCAAATAATGCAGTACATGATAATAATAATAATAATACAGGACAATTAAGTCCCCAAGTTAAGACCATCCAACTTAGAGGCTTACAATCAATCACGATCACTCTCCCATGCTTGGATGCACTACCGGCCCTTGCACTGGATTTACAATTTGGAGGCATGGTCACGAGGGTAAGAGGGAAATTCAAGCCAAATCCAGAGTTACATACTTCACACAGCATTCCTGGGAACAGGTCTGACTGAACAAGGTGGGCAGCGTTCTTCTTCCTTGAGCCAACAACCCACAAAGGTGCACAATGTTTTCATGAGCACCACAAAGCAGTGCTGGTATCTGTCACTCTGATACGCAGTAAGGTTGACTCTCCATCTTCATGCACTCAGCCAACCACGAATGATGAATATTTGGTGAGAGGGAAACAAGTGGTCAAACAATCCCTCAAAGGCTAAAAGGTAATGAAAACTGCTATTTGCAAAGCATTTGCATTGTATTAGTTACTATAAGTAATCTAGAGATGATTTAAAGTATGAGGGAGGATGGACATTGATTAAATGCAAACATTATGCCATTTCATATTCAGGACTTGAGCATGGAGGGGTGGCTGTCTAGAAGCCAATGTCCAGAATCTGAGGGAGGGCTGTATTTAATTAAAATTTTAATACAAAAGGCTTTATGGCGATCCATTCTTAAGTAAGAGTTGTCCTTATATTTTTGCTCTGGGATTTAAAAGTCGCACACAGAAATATGCATTAGCCCACTTGAGGTGCTTTTACAAATCACACGTGGCTAGCCCTTGCCACAAGACTCACCAAATCTCCCCAGGCGAGGTCCTAACCACTGTGTTTTTAAATGGCTTTCCAGATTATTCTATTTTGCACTCTTATTAAAAATCATTGGAATAATTGTGTATCAGTTCAACAGAGGGAAAGATTTATCCAAAACAAAAAAGACACCATGTTGTATGAGAAAAGCGTGGACTTTAAATACCGCTCCAACACTCATGTGCCTCGAGACTCAGGAAGAACTTAACCTCTGTTTCTAAACCTATAAAAATGGAACTAATCTGTACCTTTTCTCCCTCCCAGCTCCACACCAAATGATGCCAACAGTAGTGTAAAGCCAAAATGAGAAGTATAGAAAGCATCTATTTGGTGCATTGGACTAGGAGGACTCAGTGGAGTCAACTTCCAGTGAAATAGGGGAAAATATTGTAGAACAACAAAAAGGATGCATAATCTTGGCATAAGTGGCTATTAAAAATGTCTCTTCCTCTTCTCAGTAGTCTAGAATTGTGCAGTATAGAACCACTCCACAAGGCCGCGATCTTTAGCAAGTAGCATGCAAATCTGTCTCCCAAAGTGCTGCTAACACTGAGCCAAACTCACTGCCATCGAGTTGATTCTGACTCAGGGAGACTCTGTAGGACAGGGTAAAGCCTCTCCTGGGGTCTCGGGCCTGTAACTTTGTGCAGCAATGGAAAGTCTCATCTTTGTCTCATGGAGCAGCTGGTGGTTTCCAGGTGAAAGCAAGATCACTATTCTCCCAGGGCTTGGCTAATAGGTGAGCGCTTAACTATTGGAACAATCCAGGGGTGGGGCTGAACAATTTGCATTCCAAAGTTCCCAGGGGATGCTGATGCTTCTGGGTCTATAAACCACAGGAGAAGAGTCATTGAGTTAAAGTATGCACCTCCTAACCAAACCTCAGGGCAGATGAAGTCCTTCAACGTCACTTGTAAAATCAAACCCCTCACATTGTTCGCTTTTAGAAACACCTTACCTAGTAATACGCATTTCGAGTTTCAGAACCTTTTGTGAGTCAGAGGAAAAACTAATATTAATAACAACAAAATGTTATGCCACCGGTAACCCAACGACAAACTCGAAAGTTAATTCTGCAGAGAAGAATAATTCTCAGACTATGAATTATTTTACAAGTTAAAATATAAGTAGAAACAAGATGCAGCCGTTTTTAAAGAGTGAGTACAGGTGTGTTGGTCAAAGGTCTCATCAAAGAATACTCACAGGTGTGGAGGCATTCTGTCACTGTCGTTGGCTTGATCAGATACCCCTTACAAATGTAGCAGGTGATGTAAGGGTTGAAGTCTTTCACCAAGTGCTTCCTTTGGGTAGCCATTCGTGGTTAGCTGAGACTGGCTTGGAGTCCAAGCTAACCAGGGTATTAAGCGGATCAAAGTCCACTTTCAGCAGCTGATTGTCGTTTCCGAGCGGACGTCCTGCGGCATGTGCACTCACATCCAGAGTTATCACCAGGTCGCTGATCATCACTCCTTCTGGTGGCTTTGCGTCCCCATATCTGTTTTTAACAAAAGTTTTAAAAAGAGAGAAAGGTGTCAAATTACTTTTATGCTATTAATAGCATTATAAGAACAGCAACTGTTGTGTTCCAAATTAGGTAAATAGGTGAATATGCATTTCCTTCACTGTAACATCCATTTATAAAGCTGCTATAACTTAATTCAGAATAATGACAAAATCATCCATCCCTGGAAACTCAACTATCATATCTATGCAAATGATGCTCAGTGTGAGTAAGTCAATTTTTGATATCTCTGCCTCTCTGGTAACGCATTTGAACTATCTGCTTGACTGCTCTATCAGGACTTCCTGCCGGTACAAGTTAAAAGATGCAAACCTGAAGTAATATTTTCTTCTCTCGGAAAATGATCTCCACTTCCACCGTATAGCCCACATGCAGTCAGGAGTCAAATCAAGTTGATGACTCTTCTCAATTCCATCCAAGACAACTGTACCTGGGTATTACCCTGCACCTGCAATCCACCTTACATTCCACTACCAGTTTTGTCTTATGCAATCACATTTGAGGTCTCTGAACAAAGAATGTCAGTGTCTTCTCTTTATGAACAAAAAACCAAAACTAAACCCAATACCTGTGCTGTGGAGCTGATTCTGACTCACGGAGACCCCATGTGTTTCAGATTAGAACTATGCTTCTAAGGGCTGTGACCTTTCAGGGGTCAATCACAAAACAGACCTATCTGCTGAGGTGAATTACATCCACACGCCTTTCCATTAGGAGCTGAGCACTTAACCTTTTGCAACAAACAGGGACTTGTGAACAGAAACTGAAAAACCAAACTCACTGCCACTGAGTCCATTCTGACTCATAGACACCCTATAGGACAAGGTAGAACTGGCCCTGTGGGTTTCTGAAACGGTAACTTCTTTATGGGAGTAGAAAGACTCATCTTTCTTGCAAGGAGCTGGTGGTGGTTTTGAACTGCTGACCTTGTGGGTAGCAGCCCAATACATAACCACTGTGCCACCAGGGCTCCTAATTTGCTCAGCTGGTTACAAAAAACACTCCACACATTGGTCTGACATTCATGTACCCTTCAACATCCTTTTTGAGGCAAATTGAAATGATCCTTCCTTCCCCAAGCGGAATGGCCCACTGCCTTCCTGGGCTCTGTCTGGATTCTACCTATCCTTCAAGGCCCATCTCCAATATTAGCCTCACTTGTAATCTCTCCCTTGACTTTAGCCTTTACTCCTTTCCTATTGAATAGCCCTTTTATTTTGCTTCTATAGTTACTCATGCTTCTACCTTAATAGTCCCCAAGAGCTTTGAAGAAACTAGTCACATGAGTACATCTAAAACCTGGGTGGTGTTACTTCTAAATCTCGGCATTTTAAACCTAGGGAATGAGCTCACCCTTCTAGAGGCAAGGAGGGCATTCACGCAAAGCTGCTATGGTAGCCCTGTCCTTTGGGATTCCCACCAACGCCTTGTATGCAGGGTAGAACTGCTCTCTAGGGTTGCCAAGGCCCGGCACCAGGCCTATGTTCTGAGGGATCACCAGGTAAGTACCAACTGCCAAAGCAGCCTAGGCCATAATCACTTGTGCCACCCAGAAACGTCTGCACTGAAAGCTAGCACACAGTACAAACACAATAAATGTCTAACTTTTTCTGCTCCTGGAAAGTTTGATAGGTGCCTGTATATCAAGGTGGAAGAGAGGGGGGGAATGAAACAGCTTGTTACAAGGACTATGCACAGTGAAAATAGACAACACGAAAGGTGTTGATCTTCCTAACTTCATTCTCTAAGTGGGAACTTTTCTCTTTCAGCTGCTGCCTTCAGAGGGAAGTAGCAAGTAACTGATAGGGTTTAAAAAACAACAAAGGCTACATTCCAGTCAACGAGTCACCTCTGAGAATGTGCACGGGGTAGGTTCTTCCTGTAATCTTCCTATCAGTTTGGGAAAATGTGTGGAGGCTGACACAGCGCAGATGATTATGGGGTCTAGGCTCTGGTCCCTGGCCCCGTATGACTTCGGCAAGGCATTTAAGTTAACCTCGGTGCCCGGGCCTTCGTGGACTCCTCTGTACAATGGGAGTACCGGCTCTACACCTTCCCTACGGGTTTGCCAAGAAGCTCAAAGTACCACAAAGTTCCCAGAACGAGGAAACAACTCAGGCCCAACATGGGGGGGTATGACGATCGTCCGTCGGCGAGCCCGGTTGCCAAGACAGTTAGAGGAAGCCCGACTAGCAGGGGCAAGGACGCGGCGGGAGGAAGTTTTCCGCGTCCTGCCGCGGACTCCAGCCCCACGGCGCGCCCGCCCTGCAGGGCCGGCAGGTGCGCGGGCCCGGCTCTGCGGACCGGGCAGCTGTGCGGCCAGGATGCGCCGCCTCCCCCCGGCCGGGCGCGGGCACCGGCCCCTCTCCGCCCAGGGGAGCGCGCCGCGGCGAGCCCCCGGCCTGCCCGCTCCGCTCGTCTGGGTGGGGCGGGCCCAGCAGGTGTCTGGAGGTGCTGCTCCCGCTCGGGGAGCAAACTTGAGCGGGGAGCGCCCTGGCCGCCGGTGTGCGGGCCCCTCGGCGCCACTCCAGGCCCGCCCGGTACCTACCCCGCGGCCGCCACCGCCGCTCGTCTCCCGCCAGAGAGCCGGCCCGCTGGGAAGGAAAGTGAAAGAGAAACAGCGCCCGCCGAGGCCTGGCCGGTGCCCGCGCCCTGTCGGCCCTCCCCCTGCAGGCGGGAGCACGCCGGCTCCGCGGGGCCACTCGGCTGGGGCCGATAGGGCGCCGCGGGCCTCGGGGCCCAGGGCCGGTGCCGCCTCCAAGGGCAACTCCACCCACTTCCAACCGCCGGCCCCGCTGCCCGCCGGCCCCGCCCGCCGCCACGCCCCCGGCCCGCGCCCCTCGCAGGTGCGGAGGCCCCAATTGGCAGTCCTGCTACCAGGGCTCCTCTGGCCACGTAGCCTTAATCATCATTATTTTAGTTCTTCCTGTGCTTACCACTATCCCCCTCCTGGTGGTTTTTGTCATGACAATGTCTGATTTTTGTGCTGCTGTTGTTGTTGTTCCCTGGCTGGGGATGGGGAGGGGGTGGTGGTGCTTAAAATCAACAGTGTTAGACCTTACAGAATTGTCAACTCAGCTGGGTCCTGCCCCACGCCAGTCTCACCTAGGCCACAGCGGGAACAAGACATCCCTTGATTTTGCACCTTATTTAAAACTCACTAACGAACTTGTCTCTGGTGGGTCCAGAAGTCATGATCTTTGGCGATTGTAAGCAAGCAGGATACTTAGGGGCCTGGGGGAGGGAGTTGTTAGCGGAAAGGTAAAGAATTGACTACAATTCAAAAAGCTCAAAAAGTAAGTAAACAACCTAATATTCTTTTGGGGGCACTTTGATAACTACAAGGGACCATTCATGATAAAAACAACCACGACCAACAGAAGCATTCATTCAAAAGTACACATGAAAGGACTCCTCAGAGCCATTCCCTTCTAGTCTACTACATTCCCAAATCACCAAACTGTCCATTACAACCCCCATTTCGCTTATTTGTACTTGGTCTTTTAGTTCCTAGAAAATTACAATTCGATAATCCTAAAGCGGCGAGTGACTCGTGTGGTCCCCTCCACTGGTGCAACAACAGTGAACATGGACATCAAGGTTTGAGCATAAGGAGAAAAGGAAATTGGCAAAGGAAGATTTTCAATCTTATACAATGTATCAAAAAGGGGAAAGGTGCTACAACTGTGTCATCTTTGCTTTGGTAGATGTGAGAGCAGAGATGGTTGCAGAAGTGACAGTATGGGGGAGGGGGCTGTTGCAAGATGCTGCTTTATCTCCCCTGACAGGAGTCACCTTCTTGACTAGAGGGATAGATGGTGATGGAAATGGCTCTAAGGCAGACCCATGAAACCAATAACCGCCACCCTAGCCGCAGCACATGACCTCAAAGATCCATTCCAACCTTAAAATGCACCAAGAAGAAGCCAGCTTTTTATGTCTATTTTAGAATAAAACTTGTGTAGAGCGCACATAACGTAAAAGAAAAAGTGCCTTTGTTAGTATCACAGCAGGAGCAATGAATTTTCTGAAACGGCTTTCAAAGACCACTTTCCTAGTGCTAATAAAAACCAGTTTACAAAAATATACATGTCAGATGCCAAGTTGAGCTCAACTTCCATAAGTTAGAGATCACTAAGCGCAAACAACAAATTAGGCCAATTGCTGCTACAGCTGAAGTACTACTCTTTCTATTGTTCATCCGGAGACTAAACAGATCAATATGTGAAAACTCACACCCTTTCCAGTGTATTTAAGATACATAATAGAAAATAGTACTGTGTATGTGGTTAACATATACAACATGAGCTGGTATTTTCCCCATCTTGCATCTGAATATTTCAAATACTTTTAAAGAATCATACTCAAGGCTAGGGACTTAAGTTTGATCATGGGGATTCAAGTGGATTCATTGCAACCCCATAGGACAGAGTAGAACAGCTCTGTAGGGTTTCCTTTATGGGAGCTTACAGCCTCATATTTCTGCTGAGAAGCAGCTGATGAGTCTGGTCCATAGCCTTGCAGTTAGCTGTCCAATGTTTAAGGCACACTTGAGCCATTAGGGCTCCTGTGACCAACAGTAGGTAGCTTTTCCAGAAGAAATGAACCTCTAAGGGTGGATTTTGGGAGACTGCATTGGCAATGGTGGGCATGAACATTCAATTGATACTTGAAGGTCAAAGTGAAGGCAGAGTTCTCATAACAGGAGCGAAATTAAAAATAGTGGACTTCAAAGGGAAACAATTACCTTTGTAAGAAAACCTGTGCTTGGTAGTCCTCGGCTTTGTGGACAGCTTGCTGTGCTTTCTCCTTTAGCAACCACCCCAACTACCTCCTTCACACTAAGTGTGGGGGGAATTCACATACCCAAAAATTAAAGCAGAAGAGATAACATACTCAAACATTTGTCTGGTAAAAAACAAAGGAAAAATAAATGGCAAAAGGGAATGCCAAGGAGTAGGTTTAAGTGATGG